ATCTAGTCGTCGAGACACACCAAGGTTGCAGGTTTGATCCCTGCCCGGACACATACAAGAATCAACCAATGAATGCATAAATAAATGGAACAACAAATCATTGCTTCTCTCGCTACCCCTTCCCTTCCTTTCTCTAAAAATCAGTAAAGGTAAAAAGAATAATATGTAGGGTTGATATGGGGAAATGATTATACTCATACAGTGCTAGTAGCTTCAAAGCTGATATTCCTGCTTCTAAGTTATACCCAGAGTTACATTCTTAAACTATTGATTTGATTGTACCACTCTCTTTTACAAAATCTTTTGGCTTCTTTACCTAATGGATAACATTTATACCCCTTGAAGTCCTCTCCTGCATTTTCATATACTACTGCTACTACTTTTGTTTTTCCATTGCGAAGCATAGTGCCTGGCATACACAATAGCTACTATCCATATATTGAACAGATTGAAAAAAATTCTTTATATTGTACCTGTTTTTCACTTATGCCTAAAAATGCCTTTGTAAGGTATTTGTGAGTCATGAAACTAGTTGGGGAATATGCAGGAGGAGGAAAGTTGTATTCTTCTCTGTAAGAAACAGGGATAGCATCAGCGTGTATTTTCCCTACCCCCCCCCCCCCCAAAACCCCCCCCATTAATGTGCTTGCCTTTTCCATATTGACTCTTTTCTTCTACCCAATGGCAGAGTAATAAGGAAGTAAAATAATTTTCGTTGATCAGCCCTGCAACTGTTTTTCCCTGATTTGAGAGTGTTGATTGTATCAAATATATATAATCCTGAAAAGTTAAATAAGTGAATTTCTATAGACAACAACTGTGTACAGTGTGTGCTTCATTGCAGTGGACAGCAGAGAGAAATGCTGGATGATGAGAAACATTCTCTCTCTAGGGAGCCAATAAATAATGAGCTTTAATGAGCTTTCGTTGAGTTAACCAAAGTGTCTGTCAGCTTTAAGATGCAAAAAACCAACTGCATAGAATTTATAACAATATATATGTATACTTTGCCTATTTATTGGCTGTGTCATTAGACCTTTGAGTTCCTTGGAACCCCAGCACTGTCTTAGTCATCTTTGTATTCTACTCCCTAGCACAGTTTTTGGCATAAAAAGGCATTCGATAGATATTTGTTGAATGAACTGCGATTTGGTTTGTGGTATATTTTAATTGGCTAAAATCAAGTCTACGTATTGGAGTTTGAC